GTGGCATGTCTGCTAAATTCGTTGTGCTATTAGCTTCTACTGACTCCATTAGCCAACTACTTACGACAACAACTTAGCGTAGGGTTTAAAATCTACGCTTATAAATTAGTTTAAAAGCAATATGAATGAAATATGTTGATATTATTTGATAAGTTTACATACAAATACAACTACGACGCAACAAGTCGGTGACAAATATTGAGTGATAGTAAAAAGTATCAACAAAATTTACTCGAAACACTATATTTCAAAAACACGAACTAAACTTATTTCGAAAACACCATCGTTAGATTCTTTTTAATGCAATGGGTTGTGGTTGGGTAAAGCTACATTAAATTTAAAATTGATATTGATTTTTGTCCTGACAACTGGCCACTGCTGACTGCTGACCAATGACAAATCTGCTTACAATTTGACAATTTGTCGTGAAGTAGACATCAAAGAGTATATATGAAAAAATACCAGATATATAATTTAAACTTTATTGCTTTGATTTAAATACATATCGGAAATTGTAATTTTTGGTATTTATATATAGGGTTCAAATCGTTTTAAAAAGAAAACAATGCTATCAAGTTTTTTTCAATCGATTACAACTTCACATTTCAGATGTAAAAAGACAAATTCCTAAGTTCATGTCGCACAATTTCAGCAAGTTTGTTTTCATTCTATCTCACTTGGTCCCATACTATTAAACAAGGAGGACATAATCCTCAACATGTTTTGACTTGTCCGTAAATATCGGAAAGCAGGTTGTTTTCTTTTTTTGTTTGGGAAAATAAAGTTCTTGCTGACAACAGCCAATTGTCATTTATTTAAAGATTTAGTTAGGAGGTGATCGTTTGTGTCACACACAATAAAACTTCACAAACTTTGTGAAGTTTTATTAATCGAGATTCGTTATATCCACACATTGTATTGCACTGATACATTGTTTAATAAATTTTAAAACTTTTAAGTGATTGTGTAGTGTATTGGTTAGTGTTTATACCACAGCTGTTCGTTATTTTTTGCTGGAAAAGAAATAAAAATGACACAGTAAGTATTTTTTGTTATAAGTTTAAAATCTATTTACATCATTCAACATATTTAATTAAAAAATTTAAAAGTTATTAATTTTTTGTTTGTCTTCTTAGTGAAATTACTTAAAATTCTGTATTAACGTGACCTTTTCTATGAGTTAATTTAATATTGATCTAATAATTTTTAACAGTTTGGTTTAACTTTTTAAATATATTGCTCAAACAGTAAAAATACAGATTCAATTTTAGACTTTATGATTTCATTGCAAATTTCACTGACATATGTTTGTCTCCATTTCCAGTGGAAATGCAAAGTAATACAAGTTGTGTTCTTGTCATAGGGTGTATTTGTTTCTATATGCTGCTCTTTTTGTCGTTTTTTCTATCAAAAATTTCAAAATCAATGTCTTGTCTGGATATAAGAAACCTTTGTGGCATCATTTTAGGTCACTAAGTAGGCTAAGGCTGTTTTTATATGTTGTTTTATTTAATTTGAATATATTTAAATGGTTGTATTATGTTTCTATTATCTATGGTTTCTACTATTTTTTATTAAAAATTAATTTGAACATTTTAAACAACAGCTGAAAGAATTTTGCAATTTCAAAACTTCTGAACCTAAAGATTTTGATTTAGGATAGTGAATTTTATCAGTTACAAAGTAAATTTTAAAATCACTTACCACTGCCTATGTACAGGGTTATTGGTATCATAGTTAGTACACATTTTTGTAGAGCTAATAAAACAGTTATGTTTTTTTTTTAATCTGCCAGCTAAGTTTTATACAAGTCTTTTTGTTTTTAGGGCATTTTAGTGGATTAGAATTAAAAAGTAAAATGGTCTTTAGCTCACATTTTTAAATTTGGACAAATATTTGATGTTTTATTTTGTCAGTTAATCAGTGTTTAATGGTTTTGATAAATCAGAAGAATAAATTGTTTTGGGCTTATTTGGAAAGAAAAAAATAATCATTTAAAAATGGTTAACATTAGCAAAATGAGTATGGGGGTTAAAATTATCGCAAATGTTTCCCTCTATTACTTAACTGGAATGTGTTGAATTACCAATAACCCTGTATATTTCTTTTACAAAATTATTTTTAATTTCTACAAAATGTGGTAGGAAGCAATGCAGTAGCAAAGGCTCCAGAGTTGCACTACCATTATTTATTGTAAGGCACAATCAAATGCCAAGTGAGATACAATGGTTCATTCTTACAAATATTAAATAATATGTACATTGTAAATACAGAAACATGCTGCCCAAAAACTGCTGATTGTTGAAAAACCTAAACAAATCCTTCCAAAACAGGCTGTAACATAAATATAATATCCTATTCTAATAGTCATTTTATATAAACAATTAGACATTTTCTCACAGTTATGATTGATCAAAGAAATAGTGTTATAAAAGTACCTACATATTTAAGTTCGAGCATAATTAGTTAAAAAATTACGAATTATTTTCTGCTATTTTGATGCAACAATTGGATATGTATGTTTTTCAATCAGCACCAAAATAATTACAATTAATATATGCTATTCCAAATCTTCTGTTAAAAACCCATTTCTTATATAGGTTTCAGAGTTTTAAAAAAGATCTAAGTAAGTTTGTTATAATGTAAAAGTGATACATTTTCTTATCATTTCTTGGAATTAGATTGTAAACACAAGCTTATTGGTAGAAGACAAATGTGACCTATTTACATTATTCCAGTCCAGTAATCAAAATTGAGCGCTCATAAAGAATTGGAAAATTTAAACCCACTCTAAAATGCTCTTTTGTGGGTTTTAGTGTTAGAACAATCCAGCAGTGAATGTGATTGCTGTACTTGAATGTAGACAGTGCATAATGTTAACTTTATAAGTTTTTATAAGAAAAATGACTATGTTCTTATGCATAAGTATCAACTGTAAAAACGAAACTGAACAGAAGTTTACTAATTACCCCATTCCAAATATGCCTTAATTTTTAAAAAATGACACATCTGGATTATGATATGCTTAGATAATATAAATTCATGTAGCCTCATGTAAATGAAGTTAAATCCACTATATTATTTGCCTAATGTTTTTATTCATTTAATTAATATTTTAATTTGGCTCCTATAAAATATTCTTTTCTTGACCACTTTAGAATTGTAGTAGATATTGTGGAATCAATTCATGGTGCTGTTTAATGTAATAATTTGACCTCCCGTAACACAACTCAAATATTGCGTCATAATATTATATTGTGGACCAATGATCTCTCCCCTCTTTTTTACTAAGCTGCGCGCGCGCGCTATCGAAATGTATATAGTTCGGGGCGATCGGCTATGTTCGTAACAAGCCGTGCTAGGCACGACGACCGGGCGAAGGTATGACTCACCGCGTATTCCCTAGCCGAGAGAAAAAAAGGACCACATCTCGAGATTGAAAGCAAAAACCGGATTAGGGTATTTTCGCCCGATCGCTAACAATTTATATGCCTCCGTCCATTTATTGAACAACTTGAAAAAGAAGGATGCAGTTTTTTTTTGTTGTTTTTTTATATAGGTTTTGATACATCACCATACCTTAATGGTATTTCGGTCAAGATTGTATTAGTTTTTATTTAACTAATTAATGTTTTTACTGTCGGATCCTATCTTAAATAAGTACCTATAACTTAGTAGTACTTTGAGAAAGATGGCAACTTTAGCTGTTAACTTTAACATTTGTATCTTACTAGATTTCGTTCGCGACTCCGTCCGCTTATAATTAAAAAAAAAGTAAATATACTATGTGTTCTTCCAGACTATCCTTTAGATCTATGCCAAATTTTGTCGAGATCCGTTCAGCCGTTTAGGCTAAAAAAATCTAACAAACATGCATTGATCCATCTAAACTTTTGCATTTATTATATTTATGTCTTATAGATTTAATCGATCAACAGTACACAAACACTAAAATAAGATCGCAAGGTTACAGATGAATAAGTAGTTTAGGAATATGTAGATAAATATTCGTACGTTTGCCTCCCACGTCGGTGTTTGTTCAAGTAATAATAAGTACGCGTAGCTTCAAGGTTATTGGCAAGTCATCACCGATACTACGAGGTGGCTATTATGTCTAAAAATTTACATGACAACATATGTGTAACAATAGCGTTATACTCAATTTATTCAGTACAAGAATCGTTGTGTAAAAAAATACGAGTCCTACCGTCAAATGTTCACAAACGATCAGAAATGGAATAGTCCAATCCTTAAATAAGCTAATATTATTACATGTTATTGGCCATTTTGTATTTTGTCCATTGATACCTGTACCATTTAAAAAGACGGTGCTTATTTATGTTCTCACCCATAATTATTATATTACCTCTTAAAGTTCAAATTACGTAGTAACGATTAAATACAAATTTTATTTTGGCAACCCTAAAATGACCTGAAATTATGCGTGTGAAATTACTTAAAATTTGTATTGTGGTGCATATCTAAAAAGTGGACATTTAGAGCAAATTATAAACATTGTTATAGGTAATTATTTTCAAATGATAGGTCTTAAGAGAAAAATTGAGTTATTAAATTTGATCAATATAAAATACACATCTTACATAACAAATAGTGCGCGAAACAGGTAGTTACGTGTTAACGCGCGATGTGACCCTTTATTCCTGTTAACATGAAGTGTTATTCGTCCGTGATCGCAGGTAAATAGGGACATATTGGCCGGCTTGTAATTATGACATGTCCCAACTTGTACGGACCCTATAGTTGCTGTCTCCTGCATCAAGATTACTGCTCCGCATTTTATTAGAATAATTGACTTGCTGTTTTACTATGTTTATGAGTGTTATATTATCTTGGTAAGTGTTATTTGAGTAATAATGAAGTTGCATTTCTATGCAAAATATTATAAGTTTGCTTTAGACAACTAAAAAACTTTAACGTAGTAAATTACCTAAAGCATAGGTTTGGATTTTTTTTTGTTTTTCGAAGTAGATACCTATCTAGTTATTTAAAATATCGTTGCAGTTTGCAGCGGTTGTAACAGAGTGATCGATTTATAAAACTATCAACATCGCTTCTGAGATAAAAAAGGGTTCTATTTAATTGTGGTATATTATCGCTCTACTGGACACGAGCCAAACAAAACGCAGAGACCATAATAACAATAAACTCTCAATTGATAATGTTATTTCAGATTAACTACTATAAACATAATTTAATCTCGCTCTTTGTTTTAGGATTCATTACAAACTTCAATACGATATCTTTTATTCGATTGCTCTTCTCGGAATTCGATACGGACGTACAAACAAACCTCACCGGTGAACCTTTGTCATCGTTATTACGCTTCAAAATTTATAATCTTTTTCATTTATGGATGCATAATTATTTTAGTTATTAATCACTGTAGCTTTCGTCGGCAGTGATTGCATCATCTGCCGCTTTAGTCCCGAGCCTCGCGTAAAGGACACGTGTGGATTTAGAATAAATTAAAATAGTGCTGTGAATAAGCAGATCGACGACTCGTTGTGAGGCCTGCTTCCTCGCGTGCGCTCGCGACTATTTCTCTCTCCTACTTATTGTTTTATTCCCTTTGTGCACCTCAACTTGTGCCTCGATTATTCGTGTTTTCCTTTTATTGAATTACTCGATGCTATTTGTTACTTAAAGCTCGCTGCACTTTGCGCACTATACAATATCTTATGTAGGTAACGCTACACTGTGTACATAATTCGAACATTGTCTATGATATTTTTAATCAAATTGTCTCAATGTAATGTTACATATTTGTTGTAGGAAAACGGTAAAGGTATCCTTGGTTAGTTATATAAAACCTTCTAAACGGCCGATTGTCCTTTAAAAAACGTCGTTCTTAGAAAAACAATGAAACTGATATGTAATTTTATTGTACCAAGGCTAAGGTTAGAGATGATTGTTGGTGGATGTGGCTTTGCTGAACAGTGTGCGGTTGCATTGACTCACTGATAACGTCATTCGGTACAGCATTTGAACTTGAATGACGAAGAAGACAATTATCAATTGCGGTTTTTGTGGAAACACTAATTAGAGTTGCTCTTGTAATTACTTAATATTGACAAAATATGAGTCGTGATAAAATTGAATATTTTTCCAGATAAATCTAAGAACACTCATGTCAATGATCAGATCATCCAATTCTTAAAAACTCTGTCTAAAGAGCGATCAATTTGATAAGTAAAGCTATATTATTTACTAGGTTTCGCCCGCGACTTCGTCCGCGTGGAATTAAAAAAAACAAAAGTGAGTAGCCTATGTGTTCTTCCAGACTATCCTCCACATCTATACCAAATTTCATCGAAATCCGTTCAGCCGTTTAGGCTACAAACTCTAGCAAACATCCATCCATCCATGTAAACTTTCGCATTTATAATATTAGTAAGATTAGCTATTCATTACAAATGAATTGAGAGTATTAAGTCATATTCAGGTCATTATCACTAGCTCAGTCGACTTAATAACCGTGAGAGTCAACACATGTTTCGCATTAATTAAATGTAAATACAATGTTTACTCTAACATGCAACTGTTATACTAATTATTCAACCACATATTACGTTTCGTTTAATCGTTACGCATAATTGCAATTAATACAACATAATAGTTTGCAATAAACATCGCACTAAGTGTTAGATAAGGGGCAGCCGACATTGGAGACCAGGGTAATGTCAAATATACAGTAGAACCTCGATAAGTTAAAGTCCAAGGGAAACACTAAATATTTTAAGTTATCAAGGGTCTATGTTGTTAGAGGTTTTGGGCTCTGGTGGGAAGGGAACATAATATTTCTTGAAGTTATCGAGGTTTTAAGTTACCGAGGTTCTACTGTATTTCTAATGTAACTTACAACATGTAAAATGATTTAATGTTTGCTTAACCATTCGTTACTTTTCTAATAATGACTAAGGTTGTAAATACAAACCTTATAGTTTCTACGTTGCTTCAAAAGGTGTGTCTTATCATGTGAGATATGATTTCTTTGTTTATGCGCGCTTTAACGATGCATTTTCCACATTAGTTTGACCTTAGCATATGCGTCACTCATTTATTGCGTTGTTTATTTACCCTATTACAAAGCTCTACTATCAATGTGGATTGATTTTATATCAGTTTATCAGATCTGTATTGGATTGTTTTATCTTGACTAAAAACCGATGTTTTTCGTAACGTCCTATATTCAGGAAAGTTGCATTTTAAAGAAATATAAACGTATCTTATCGAATTATTACAATTATGTACAAGTGCAGAGTTTTTGCGCCAATAATATCAGTTGCATGCACTGCACCGATCTCGATAGAATGGAGATAAGCCGCTTGGTGGCGCTGTCGGCGCTGCGGCGACCGGTAATGTTTTACAATGACTCATCTTTCCAGTCGTGCGCACTTGTTGCACTAGACTTGTTTGCAAAAATATATCTTATCCACTACGAATGTTCTCGAAGTTAATGATACTGTTCTGAATATAAACCGAGATTCTTTAGGATAAGTAAAATACCAAGTTTGTAATGCGAGAACTTTCTACATAAGCCTATACAATTTTATGAGTGTTTTTCATTAATAAATATATATTTTGGATAAACTAACTTATTTTAGAAAAACGGAGAGACGACTGAGGATGATACGAACACTTTATTTGTTAGCCCATATTTACAATCATAAGTAAAACTCCGTTAAAAAAAAAAACAAATTATCATTAATATGATGTTCATGTCATCCAGTATTTTATATTTTTTGTCTTGTCTCAGGGCACTAGCGGCGCTGGCCGCTGTGTGCCTGTGCTTAACCGGGGGGGAGGCGCAGCCGACGGGCTGCAGCTTCGGCACCCACTACTGCCCCGAAGGTTTCTACTGCGAGCCCGACCTGCTGTACTGCCGCAAGTGTCTGCGCTGCGAGGACTTGAAGCGGGAATCGCTACCCTCGCAGTCCTCTTGCGTCAAATCTGTGTCTGATTGTGGACCTTGCTACAAAGGGTGAGTGTCTTAAATTTTCAGAAGACCTACGGCACCATTTTGATGCTCATTGCATTACGCTTTAACTTGATCTTTCATGTATTTGCTTAGACATATATACATAATAGATGTCACTGAACTTGAATGTCTGTATTGAATAGAAATATAACAATTCTTTCTTTGGTGTTCTACATTGTTAGATTGGTGATAGACCACCGTGGCGATGTGAACTCGGCATGTGTGCCGCGCGGCGAGCACGGCGCGGGCGCAGAAGAGACGGAGGGCTTCCCGGTGTACGGGTGGGTGCTGGTGACGTTGCTGTGCTTGCTCCTGCTGATGCTGTTTGGCGGCATCGTGTGGTACGTTCTCAAGCACCCCGACACGCTGAAGATTCTCGCCTGTAAGTACCATTACGTAACAGTAAGATTTTTAAATGTTAAGATAAATGACTGGGTT